ATTGAACAACAACCATGTTCTCAATGAACCCAAAAAACTCATTAATATCAAAGCTGAATATTTTTGGAAGTAGTTTTTAGTTTGTTTTTAGTTTTAGCTATGTTAGGGGGATATCTGTGTGTGCAGGTGACTATTACTGTGCATAATTATTTGGCAACTTAACAAAAAACAAATATATACCCATTTCAATTATTTATTATTACCAGTGAAACCATTATAACATCTCAACATTCACAAATATACATTTCTGACATTCAAAAACAAAACAAAAACAAATCAGTGACCAATATAGCCACCTTTCTTTGCAAGGACACTCAAAAGCCTGCCATCCATGGATTCTGTCAGTGTTTTGATCTGTTCACCATCAACATTGCGTGCAGCAGCAACCACAGCCTCCCAGACACTGTTCAGAGAGGTGTACTATTTTCCCTCCTTGTAAATCTCACATTTGATGATGGACCACAGGTTCTCAATGGGGTTCAGATCAGGTGAACAAGGAGGCCATGTCATTAGATTTTCTTCTTTTATACCCTTTCTTGCCAGCCACGCTGTGGAGTACTTGGACGCGTGTGATGGAGCATTGTCCTGCATGAAAATCATGTTTTTCTTGAAGGATGCAGACTTCTTCCTGTACCACTGCTTGAAGAAGGTGTCTTCCAGGAACTGGCAGTAGGACTGGGAGTTGAGCTTGACTCCATCCTCAACTCGAAAAGGCCCCACAAGCTCATCTTTGATGATACCAGCCCAAACCAGTACTCCACCTCCACCTTGCTGGCGTCTGAGTCGGACTGGAGCTCTCTGCCCTTTACCAATCCAGCCACGGGCCCATCCATCTGGCCCATCAAGACTCACTCTCATTTCATCAGTCCATAAAACCTTAGAAAAATCAGTCTTGAGATATTTCTTGGCCCAGTCTTGACGTTTCAGCTTGTGTGTCTTGTTCAGTGGTGGTCGTCTTTCAGCCTTTCTTACCTTGGCCATGTCTCTGAGTATTGCACACCTTGTGCTTTTGGGCACTCCAGTGATGTTGCAGCTCTGAAATATGACCAAACTGGTGGCAAGTGGCATCGTGGCAGCTGCACGCTTGACTTTTCTCAGTTCATGGGCAGTTATTTTGCGCCTTGGTTTTTCCACACGCTTCTTGCGACCCTGTTGACTATTTTGAATGAAACGCTTGATTGTTCGATGATCACGCTTCAGAAGCTTTGCAATTTTAAGAGTGCTGCATCCCTCTGCAAGATATCTCACTATTTTTGACTTTTCTGAGCCTGTCAAGTCCTTCTTTTGACCCATTTTGCCAAAGGAAAGGAAGTTGCCTAATAATTATGCACACCTGATATAGGGTGTTGATGTCATTAGACCACACCCCTTCTCATTACTGAGATGCACATCACCTAATATGCTTAATTGGTAGTAGGCTTTCGAGCCTATACAGCTTGGAGTAAGACAACATGCATAAAGAGGATGATGTGGTCAAAATACTCATTTGCCTAATAATTCTGCACTCCCTGTATAGTAGAGCTTACACACAAGGGCCCTGCAGTTTATATACAGGTATATTATGCTGTGTACAAACCTTGGGAATCTTGGGTTAAGATTTATGGCCACACAGGCGGTGATGATATGTTGCCACTTCCTAAATAATAATTTGCAGAACTAGTCATAGCATAGAATAGAGCTACACTTTCAGCTCTCTGTTCCATAAGGGATTGGTCTGTGTAAAAGTTTGGAATTAAATGTCTAATTTTAAAGGCAAACCCAGCAAGTTTCACGGAATTTCTGTGAAGTGCAGTTTTTGTGTTGGTTTTTCTCAGTTCTCAAATTCATTTGCTATATATCTTTAATACACCTTTTGTGACAAGCCAAAACTATTGGAATTATGTACTTGTGTAATAATAACCTAATTATATTAACACATTTTTTTTAATTGTCCATTTGTTATGCAAGATTCAAGACAGATATGAGAAAAGAAATGATTCAATCCAAATGTATTTTTTTTTCTCTCTGTCTTGATTAATTTGAAATGTCTACGAGTCTCACCAGGGAAATAGGGAAATGCAACATGTTTCTGTGTTTTCCGTGTGCAAAAGTGCTTTATTATTTAGAATGAAGTACCGTATTACTGAAGATGCTTCTATGCACATTCACATATTTTGCAGTCTAGAGAGCCCTAGGATAGTAAACGGATTAAGAGATTTTTTTTGACTGCAGTGTTTTGTTCCTGCTTGCTAAATCTACATCAAGGGCAGACAGTTTTTTTTTTCTGTCACCCACGCACTGCTGGACTAAACCTCCTGTTTCACTTCCTGAATGAGTTTAATATGAACTGTAGTCTCCCAGCATCCTTGCAGACACCTACCTGGGACCTGCCACATTACAGCTATAGGACCATGTACCTCTTATCATACGTTTATATTTATATGAATCAGGACTGGATTGATAGCAGAACTCTGCAAAAGCCGTAACTTGTTATTGTGATAGATAGATTTAGATGAAAGGAAAACTGTTATGTTAGGAATATAATCATGTATTCCTAATGTCCTAGTCTTTCCCTACCTATGATTCCCCTACTTAAGATCTACTTACCATACATCCCATGGTGTGCTGGACTCCATGCTGCCGCAATGCCTCCCTGATTTAGATCATCAGTTTTAATGTTCTCAGCCAATCCAATGTTTCCCCATAGAAAAGGATTAAGAGGTTAGTGTGCATGCGTGGCAAAATGCCATGCTGCGCCAACAAACTGCTTTCTATGAGTCATTTGGTCTGTAACCGAGTTTACCTCGTTTTCAGCTGCGGAATCGTCTAAGGTTGCTGTCTTCCTGATGGCCACTTGAGTTGTTAATCCTGCCATGAATACATTGCACTTCCTGCAACTGGCAGTGTTTTCAGTTGCAGGGTTAGATAAGACATGGGCATCAGAACCCAGCACACTTCATTGAGATGAAGAGTTTTTTTAACATTATTTCACTCCTATAATATAACTGCTTTCTGAAGGGGCATAGCCAGAATATTCTGTAAATATTAACTTAAATATCACATATTACCTTTTTCAATGGGCATGTCTGTTTTAACTCCATGCTCTCAGCCAACAAATTTACCTCTGCTCACAGAATATGCACAGAATTTACATTACATAATGATTCTTAAACGCTCCTTCCCACCTTGGCTCCAGCAGCAACATTAAAGGAACACTACAGGGTCAGGAACACAAACATGTATTACTGACCCTATAGTGTTAAAAACACTATCTAGCTCCCTAATCCCCATAAATAGAGTAAAATCTTACCTTTTTTCCATCCTGCTGGTGCTGGCTCTGCCCTTGATCTGCCTCATTGGCTGACAACATCAGAATGGTGATATCAGCAATCATAATGCTTTCTCATAGGAAAGCATTGGTTTGGCTGAGATTGTTAATTCTGATGATCTCAGCCAAGGACGCCTCGGGCAGAGGGTGGAGCCAAATTCAACCCTGGCCAATCAGCAGCTTTTCAGAGAGATGCATTGAATCAATGCATCTCTTTGAGGAATGTTCAGTGTCTCCATGCAGAGGGTGGAGACACTGAATGTCAGTGCTACACGCTGTGCAGCACTGACCAGGAAGCACATCTAGTCACTGAAAAGACAGTGTTTACTGCAAAAAGCCTGCAGGGACATGCTATACTCACCAGAACAACTGCATTAAACTGCAGTTGTTCTGGTGACTATAGTATCCCCTTAAATATCCAAGAATGTAAAGTATTTCTTACTGAAATGCTGCACACACGTAGGATCCTTGCACCATGGCTACTTCAAAACACTGAAGTGGTTGTGGTGCTTGGAGTAATCAGTTAAAATGGCAGTACCCATGAGCATACCTCCCAACATTTCAAATGGACAAAGACGAGCGCTTTAATGTGAGTATGGATGTGGCAAAGAGGGAGAGAGCAATTTGGTTTACCTCCTAAATAGGTTAACTGTCCTTCCTAACTAGGATCACTTGGGATGTCACACCAGATGTTTGCATTACCCATTATTTTTGGCCAATACCATGGGTTGCCCTTGGCATGGAGAGCTTCAGAAGGTTCTTGCAAGGGCAGAAATGTCCTGAATTGTGTTTCTACAGCAAGCATGTTTGCGCTGTTTTTCTTTTGAGGATGTTTCTATGATCAAAAGTAGAACAGTCGGGATGGTGGGACAAGGGACAAATAACAATTGCTTTTAGTTTGTATGCGGAACACCAATCTTTCAAATTGGAAACTACATTCCAACTGTTGCAAAGAAGAAAGTAAATTTATGGTTCATGGGAGTTCTTAGAATGTTCACAATTTATTTTAATTTGAAAATATTGACCAAAGGTTTCATTTGATATTGTTTACTCAGTGTTCATATGATCCAAAACTACATCATCTGGTACAATCTGTCACCTTAACCAACACAGATAACAAGAGATGTACAAATATATTGATTTCCTATCCCAGAGTTTCAAATGACTCAATATTATGTTTAAATAAATATGTGAATGTGAATATCTTTACTGATAATGATTTAGCTGTCATATTTAATGTATAATCCCTTATTTTGATTATGATCACTATTCCTTCTAGTGGTTTTGCAACAGATGGGTGACCCAGTCTGTCATTGATAATGTTCATAAGTAAAATGCCAATGTGTATACTACGTATCTGTTTGTCCCGTCATTAAGAATATTTTTATATGGATAATATCCCTAATAAAATGTCATGTGTTTATTCTCTAAACACTGAATTGCAATTCATTGAAAACCAAAATTTAGACTAAAACAGCCAAGTTGCAACTGTAGCTGAGTTAGTGATTTTTTCCAGATCAGATTTTTATGCCTACAATTTGCAGCTTGGTTTCAATTCACTGTAATTTGGTGGTTAGTAGTGATGTCCTGAACGGTTCGCCGAACCGTTCGCCACGGACGGTGAACATAGGCGCTGTTCGGTCCGCCCCCTATGTCATCATTGAGTAAACTTTGACCCTGTACCTCACAGTCAGCAGACACATTCCAGCCAATCAGCAGCAGACCCTCCCTCCCAGACCCTCCCACCTCCTGGACAGCATCCATTTTACATTCATTGTGAAGCTGCATTCTTAGTGAGCTGTCCAGGAGGTGGGAGGGTGTGGGAGGGAGGGTCTGCTGCTGATTGGCTGGAATGTGTCTGCTGACTGTGAGGTACAGGGTCAAAATTTACTCAATGATGATGAATAGGGGGCGGACCGAACAGCGCATATGTTCGCCGTCCATGGCGAACCGTTCGGCGAACCGTTCGGGACATCACTAGTGGTTAGTGAATAAAATCCTTGTGGCTTTTGGACAAATCCACATGCACTATCCTTACTGTATCATGATTGCTTTTGTCTAGACCTTTTATTACAGGACTGGTTACTACATTGATTATTTTACATATTTTATATCTGTTTACTACATGTTTTACTTAAATTGATTGGATGCTGTGGGACCTATGCTATAACTTTTCAGCATTTGTATTAACCACTTCCTGTTGCTTTCCATTGTTCTATGGAGAAGGGGAAGTGGGTGTGTTGAACATTATTTTGGTAGTCTAATACAGGAGAAAATCAAAATATGTCACCTTTCCAGCCATCTCTAGGAACCTTCAACTTAAATGGGTCCATTGTATATCTAGAAACTTTGAGTTTGTGGTACCCTAAATTATCATTAAATTTAAAAAATATTTAAAAAAAATATTTCAGAGTTGGTGATGGTGGGAATGAAGTGCTATAGAGCTACACCTCTACCCCAAGCTTATTTGCTAAACCCGGAGGTCTGATAAAACCCATTAAAGTCCCCGTTACAATCCTGCCCCCTCTGGTCTCTTCCTTTAGACCACCAAAGATGGGGTACAGAGAACGTAAATAAAACCTGGGGTTAGGATGGAGCGACACCACCTGTGACACACATAAGGCACCTCCAGTGACATCAAAGATCATGGCTAAATATACTAAAGAAATTATTTTCTTATAATAAACCTTTATGAGTGCTTAGTTTAAATCTTCAGATACACATTTCTACAAAGGTGCTCTGGCTGTTTACATGCACTCTGTTATACATCATTGACCTTCATTCTTTAATCTTCCTTACAGTAGCCTAATAACCCATGAAGACGATGGTAATGAACTTGCTCCTTATTGCAATTATACGTTTAATGATTACAGTACTTAGTTAGTTTTGGAGGTAGAAAAACTACTCTAGAGAGCCCTGGTAAGGATATGCATCAGGAGGCTGACTATGATGGAAGGATAAGCAGTAAATAAATGTGAAAAACTGCCTGGGGACACAGTACGCGGACTCATCAAACTCACAGCTTGGCTCGCTGCCAGAACGACACTTTAACTGAGATCTACAATATGTCTTTATTATTTAATAGCAATTCTGAAATGTGCCCTGTAATGCATTCTGCTGGGAAACTGCATTTAAAGACGCAGACGTATTTTTAAATATGTTTAGTGTAATTTTCAAGCCGCATAATTGTTATAGTTTGTTATCATCCATTTTTATATAAAACTAGTGTAGTTAGTAGAGACATAAAATTCACTTTCAAAGTATTTGCAATCTCTCACAGTGGAGAGATTTATTAAGGCAAAAGCATGTGCTATTCCAGGGTTAAGTGCTAAATAAGGAGTAATTGCCATGGAAACCAACAGAATATCTCTAAAAATATAGCAGCACACACGCAAAAAAACACCTTTTTTGCCTTGATAAATCTCCCCAAAAATGAATATAAAGGGATATTAAAACAAAGCTGTCACTTCTCCGAAGAATAAATAGAAGTCCCATTCAATGTTCATACCTGAGTATGTTTCCACTTAATATTTTATGTTAATTACAATTATATTGAATCGTTGCTCTAGATCATCATCTTCTCTTTTTCCTGCTCTGCTGTCACTTTCCGTTAAGAAGTCACATGGCGCTTATCACACAATTTCACAGACTCCTTTACACTTTTAACATAATTCATAATGTAATAGGTAGCACATGTGATACTTTTGCTTTGCGAGACTTTAGGCAGTTATGGAATTCTTTCTAAAATTGTCTGTCATGTAGACACCATCACAATAACGATTGTACACCAGGTAAAAACAATAAAAGGTATTTTGTGATTACTAATTACTTGTGCCACCAGATGTCTGTAAAGACCCAGTGACATAGGCGTGCGCAGCCTATTGTATAAGGGTGTGCACCCTAAAGTACAAACACACACACTGCTGTGTGTGGGGGGGGGGGGCACTGTGTGTGTGGGCACTGTGTGTGTGTGTGTGTGAAGGCGCTGTGTGTGTAAGGGTGCTATGTGTGTGTAAGGGTGCTGTGTGTGTGTATGTGTGAGGGTGCTGTGTGTGTAAGGGTGCTGTGTGTGTGAGGGTGCTGTTAGTGTGTGTGTGTAAGGGTGTGTGTGCTGTATGTGTGTAGATGCTGTGTGTGGGGGGTGCTGTATGTGGGTGCTGTATGTTTGGGTGATTGTGTGTATTGTGTGTGGGCCATTTAGTAAATATCCCCCCTCCCTTCCTACCTTATGCCTGGATGGGGGGATCCTTTCTGCTGCTTCCATCCCTGGTGGTCCAGTGGAGAGTGAACTCTAGCCTGCGGGGCTAGAGTTCACTCAACGCTAAGAATACAGTGAGAGGAACCCGGCGGAGCTACTGGCAAGAGCTCCTCGGGTCCTCTCCCGCCTCCCTTCCTGCCTGTGGGTCGGTGGGGAGGGAGGCTGAGAGCAGAGCTGGCGCTCGGATAGCGCCGGCTCTGCATGAGCCGACAGGGGAGATCCTGAGATCTCCCCTGCCGGTCTCAATATACATAGGCGTGCCGCACGCCTATGCCCGGTGATGATGAATATAATCAGATTTTCTAGACCTGGGGTAGGCAACTTTTGGCACTCTAGATGTTGTTGACCACATATCCCCTCATGCTTTGCCAACATTATGGCTATAAGGGCATTGTGGGAGATGTAGTCCTCAACATCTGGAGTGTCAATGCTTGCCTACCCCTGTCTTAGTCGATGACCAATACAATTTTAGCCATGTACTTTGCAGGAAATGCGTTATGCATTAGTATTTTCAGTGTATGAAGGATTTTCTATTGCTTTCTCTCTCTTTTTACATAGTGAGAGAGGAAGCAATTTTTTTGGCTGGTGGAACTATTCTCATTTTTTTACTTTAAAACCCTGTAAAATAAATATAAACATACCTTGAATGCAGCGCCAGGCGAGGTTCCTACACTCTCCATCTACCATCATGTCACGTCATTTCTTCTCTGTCCGAGATCCAATCAAATGCGTCTCATAGTGATAGATTTAATTGGACTGATTTTCAGGCTCTGAGTTCATATTCACGCTCTAATCTGGAGAGGGGAGGGATTGTGGGGTAGACAAGTGAGGGTTTAAAAAAAAAAAAAGGGGGTAGAAGCTCATTACCTATGTTGCCACGGCGCAGTGCATACTGACAAAGGCGGTAATTTTTTGTACAGAATTAACATTAGAGGCCCCAGAACAGAGTTCCGGGCCAGCTAAGTCTCATGTTCCAGAGGTCCAGCTAGCCCATGGCACAAAATTGCAGATATCTCTGTACGTGCAGTGTTTCAAGCTAAAACACTGCACATACAGATTCCTACCACCATGACCACTTCTAAAGGCAAAAGTGGTCATGGAGGTTGGAGTAACCCTTTAAATTTGGGTTCAATTCACCTTGAATTCTCACTTTAGTAAAAAACATTGGGTATGTTTGACATGTATCTATGTAAAATACTTGGATACTAAGCTACTGCTGCTGTAAGCGCGGTGCTTTATCTTTATGTTTGACATGTATCTATGTAAAAGTCTAATTCTTAAACCAGGGCGATATTTCAGTTACTTGCTTTCTGAAAAATTAAGTTATATCCAAGCTGTTTGCAATACCTTATAAAAATAAACATATTCTAACTAACCTGTTTAGTTATGCAGTCTCTCTCATAAACTAATATGGGTGCCATGCTTGCTATACAAGGCATAATTAAGCATCATATACAGTACCTTACACTAATATTGGCACCCACGGTAAATATTAGCAAAGAAGCATGTGAACAATGGTCTTTTACCTTTTGATTTTATTGTTAAAAAAAAGACATAAATATTTTGCTCTCACGGATATCAAAAAAATTTCTATTATAATGTGGGTGTATCAAAAAAAACTAAATCTTTGTTAAATATATGTACGGCACAATTATTGGCACCCTTTTAGTCAATACTTTGTACTACCTCCCTTTGCCAAGATAGCAAATTAGGGGAGTGGGTTGGACATGATAGGACCTTGATTTTCTGGTCAGTAAACCATTTTTGTGTTGGATTATTGTCCTGCTGGAAGATCCAACCACGGCCCTTTTAAGCTTTCTGGCAGAGTCAGCCAGGTGTTCATTTAATATCTGTTGACATTTGATAGTCAGATGATGCCATGTAGCCTAACAAAATGTCCAGGTCCTCTGGAAGAAAAACTGCCTCAAAACAAAAGAGCCCCCACCATATTTAACAATGAACATTAAGGTACTACCTCCCGATGTGCGCCAAACCTACCTCTGGTGTTTATTGCCAAAAAGATCTATTTTGGTTTCATGTGACCAAAGAACTTAATTCCATTTGCAGTTCTACTATTGTCTGGCTAACTGAAGACACTTCAGTTTATTTTTGGATGAGATCAGAGACTTTTTTTCTTGAAATGCTTTCAAACAACTTGTGGTGATGTAGGTGATAACAGATTGTAGTGTTGAAGACTCTCTGACCGCAAGACGCAACTAACTTCTGCAATTTTCCAGCTGTGATCCTTGGGGATTTTTTTGGCCATCCTCTTCACAGTGTGTTTAGATAATACAGACACACGTCCTCTTCAAGGCTAATTAATAACATATCTAGTTGACTGGATTTTCTTAATTATTGCCCTTGTGATGGAAACGGGCATTTTCAATACTTTAGCTATTTTCTTCTAGCCACTTTCCAATTTGTGAAGTTCAACAACCTTTTGACACACATCACAGCTATATTTCTTGGTCTTACCCATTGTAACAAATGACTAAAGGGATTTGGCCAATGTGTTACCTCATATTTATACCCCTGTTAAATAGGATGTCGTGGTTGAACAATTTCCTGTTCCTAGTCACCCAGGTGTACTAAAAATGTTTAAAT